TTATTAGCAGGTTAACCAATATGAAATAGAATTCAAAAGTAGCCGACAACTAGCCAATGTTGACATGCTATCTCGATTACCTATAAAGGGAACCCTAATACCAAAAGAAGAAACACTAGATCAAATATGGGTGGGAGAACAACAAACACCTTAAAATGCAAGCGAAATTGAATGAGAAACAGTGCAAGATGATGTACTCTCTAAAGTATACAGGTATACAATAGACGGATGGTCAATAAACTATGATGCATGTTTAAAGGAGTATAGCCAAAGGAGAGTGGAAATCACAACAGAGAGAGATTGTTTACTTTGGGGAACTATGTGATAATACTACAATACCGAAACAACGTAGAGATGATACATCAAGGACATATTGGAATGGTAAAAATGAAGGTGAGAGCAAAACAATACTCGTGGGGGCCTAATATAAACCAAGATATAGAAACATGGGTTGACAAAATGGCAAAACCACCAAAAGCATGGCACCGAGTACATATTGATTATGTTGGATGTTGGACCATTTCAAAAACATTATTGGTTGTTGATGCTAACAGTAGCTAGGTAGAAATATTTCCCATGACTAGTACTACAACCGAAAGCACTATAAAATTATAAAAGAAATATCTTTGCCAGATTCGGATTTCCTAAGATAATCGTTTCTGATAATGGGCCATAATTCAGCAGTAAAGAATTCAATGATTTTTGCGAAAAAAACGGAATAAAATTAGTGCACGGAAGTCCATACCATCCTCAAACTAACTGCATGCCCGAACGTTTAGTTCGAATCTTTAAATAGAGCATGAATAAAGTAAACGAGGGGAATTTAGAAACCAGTTTGACTATTTTTTCTACAATTATCGAAATACACTAGGGAGGGAAAATGAACAAAGTCCCGTCTTAAACCTAGAGGATTGTTAGGCCAAATATTCAACGGGGGAACAAAAAGGAGAAGTTAGAATACTACACTTCGAGATAAATGAAAAAATGTGGTCGAGCATTTACAGCCATTATTAAAAGTAGTGTTGTTAAACGGCTCGTTTTGAGCCGATCTTTAAAAGCGGCTAACTCAATATTTCACCCAGAAATATATTACGTAAGCCTGAAGATTGTGCTTACAGAAGGAACAAAAGTCTAGACATATATTATCGAAATCTCAAGGCTTAGGCAATATTTTCTGGCATTGAGTTATAATTAAAAAATCGGCTCAAAACGAGTCGTTTAACAACACTAAAAGCATATCGGATCACTACGATATGGAGTAAGTATAGAGGGTAAAACGATTATACGTCATACAGATCAATTAAGGAAAGAACCGAAAATATATTAACTGTAAAGTACGAAGTAGAGAACCGAAGAGATAGTAAACAAAGAGGACGTAGTAAACAATAACGATGAAATGAACCTAAAGGAGAGGGAGGAAAATGATACAAGTCAAGAAGTCGAAGGAAGTATTATACACAAGTTAGAAACTACAAATCAAGATCGACATCCGAAAAGAATACGAAAGAAATCAATTAGTGGTACTAATGTTAATATTAAGTTTGTTATTTTTTTGTAAGAGGTTCATTTTATTACTTTGGATTTTTTGTGTTGAATATACACAAAAAATGCGATTTTATAAGAAATAAAATAAAAGGTTATGTTTCAAAAATATACTTCAAGAATTACTTCTAAAAATATATTTCAATAACCAAAATAATATTGTGTAAGTCTGGAGATTTAGCTCATAGATGGCAGAAAGGACATCTATTTACCAAATGACGAGGCTTACATAATATTATTTTGGCTAAAATATTAATAGGGTAGTTATTAAAAATCGACTTAAATCGGGTTTTTTAATAATATTGGTAAAAGACTGTTACTAATAATGGAAGAAGATTTTCTTTAAGGTTATATGAATTAAGTTGAATAATTAATTGAAGCTGATACAATAAATTTTTAAACATAAACAAACAGAGCAAATTATAAATTTATATGTAGTCAAATACCTCATCTACAAAATAAAAAAAGTTTAGTTCACCTTTAATACTTTAGAAACTGTGATTAATTATGTGAAGTAAATCATTTTCGCCATTTTACCCCATACCCAGGGTAAAGTGGCTAAGCATCGGAGTAACGTGGTTAAAATAAAATTGAACATATTGTTTAATTTAACAAAATATTGCAATTTTGATATTTATTCATTAAATCGCCTAGCGACATTTTATCACATGCGACACTTTATCACATGCGACACTTTATCACGACGATACTTTATCATGACGACACTTTATCACGACGACACTTATCACGACGACACTTTATCACGACAACACTTTATCACTCAGTCATTTGATAACGCGACACTTTATCATGGGACATTTGAACACGCGTCACTTTATCATGCGACACTTTATCAATATACTGAAAACTTTTAATATATTTAAAAGTTAAATTTTGATAATATCTCATTTTTTGACTTTTCCGTTTAAATTCTGATATTTAAAAAATTTTAATTAATTTTTTTGCATTTTTTTATTGAGAAAAACTCATATTTTAATTTTCATTATAATAATTTTTTTTAACTCTAAGTTCCATCATATTTTTTTCATAAAAGTTTGAATTTTTGAAATTCAACGAATTTATTTGGACAAAAATGAAAAACCTTTTATAATCTATTATTTTACGAAGATTTATTTTAAATTTTATATAGAAAAGCACCATTCCATTTATTTTATATTTAAAATCCAATTTCTGTTATTTTCATTCCAAAATTTTTAGCCAAATAATTTTTTAAATTAAAATTTTATGTCCTTTAAAAATAAAGAAACATGAGACATGGGCAATAAGATTGATTTCAATTTATACTTTTTAATAATATGTAACTATACGAGTAAAAAATATAAATTATTTATAAAATATTTAATTGAATAAAATATGGGCAATAGCTTTTAAAAATGTTAAAGAATCAGATAGTCCATAATTCGAAACACATATATGAAATCGTTTTTTTTTATCTTCATATTTATTTGAGAGGTAGGTACATGTTGTTCCCATTATGGCTTGAAGATATAGGGCCTTATGTTTTTGCATATCTTTTTGAATCCCATCTAAAAATTTCCAAAGCGTTGGGTGAACATTGGTATAGGAATTAAATTCCATAATGCCACCCTTCAACACAATTTGTTGTTCGGGCGACACCTTCTAACGTTGAATTGTGTTTGTCATAATTTTACATTATAGAGGTGCTGCAAAATTATTTCGTTGCCCTATAAATATATAAATTGAGAATAAAAAATATATTTTTTAATTTTTAAGTGGTCGTGTGATAAAGTGTCTCAAGATAAAATGACGGGTGATAAAGTGTCGTCGTGATATGTCGCCGTGATATTGTCGTCGTGAAAAAGTGTCGTCGTGAAAAAGTGTCGTCGTGAAAAAGTGTCGTCGTGAAAAAGTGTCGCATGATAAAGTGACGCGTGATAAAGTGACTCCAAATCTTTTAAATATATACTAATCAAAACAATCAATTCAATTATTCTTTCCCTTTGTGACTATTCTTAAAATTTTATTCCATATAACAAAGAAAGTATTTATCAATTTTCCTTCTTGCTCAAAAATATGCTTTTATATAATGTTAACGTTAATATCTAAAAATCCCTTTTTACTTAAATCAAACATTTTAACGTTTTACCCATAATAACTTTACACCAAGGTGATATATATTGCGTTAATCGTTATTATCTGACTTCTCATTAAGCGAAAACTTCCGATAAATATAGTTATGGCTGGAACATGTATACGCAAAATTAATTGAGGGTTATTTTCATAATTTTTGGGTAAAAAACGGGTTTTGGGCAAAAAATACCAGAAAAGTTATGCTTTACCCCGGTCTCCCCTACAGGAGGCCATTTTAATATCGACAAACCTAATATTTCATGTGGATAGAGATTTACAAAATGTGACAATATTAACATTCTCAAATATTCATTTTATAAATTGATAAACATAAGTAATAAATATATTTTTTAAATTGATTAATATCATTTATATATAATAAAGGTTTCGAAAAATTTTTTAAATAATTTTTTTAAAAAATTAAATTATATTAAAACCAAGAATGAGGGGGCCCACAATATAAATCAGGCATAAAACCAGACACTCAATTTGGAGTAACTATTTTATATTCAAAAAAAATCAAGTGTCCTGTAGCTTCAGATGCAAAGTTATAAAGAAAAAGGCAAAGTGAAAATAACAATGCGTTTAAGACATATAGCCACAGGGTTAAGGCATATAATTACGAAAATTTCCCTTTAATTGTGATTGTTTAGTTATCATCAACAAAAATAAGCTTTAATTTAATAAAATTTTAGTAAATCCATATTATATAATAGAAAGAACAAAGACTAAATTCTAATATTTAGTTAATTTAAAAAATTCTCTATATATTTTTAAGCTCTAAACAAAAAATAATTAAATATAAAAGACGTTGTAAATCGCATAATATAAGTTATGATTACTCAAAAGTTTCGTTGCTAGTTTACTTTTAAAACCATTTCAAGCAATGTTGGAGAAAATTGGGGGGAAAATAAGGTGGAGAATATGGCATACTGCCTTAATATTTCAAGCAAAGACTGCAGATACCATTTGCACAGCCCGGCCTGGATTTTTTGAAAGAAAATACGGCCCGGTTAGAGTTATATATTTTCCGGCCAGTATTTAAAATAGATTTTATTTATTTTTAATTTTTACAGATAATAATAGCGATTAAATATTTGGCTCCCCGATTCGGTATATTTTAAAAAATTAAAATAAGGCGTAGGGCCGGGCCTGCAAGTCTCTGATTTTAAGCAATATAGGTGTTGCCTGAATAAACCAGGAAAAATGTTTGCTTATAATATTTCCAACCTATTGCTTGTTTTCAAAAATTGCTTATTATATATTCATTTTTGAGTATGAATGATGCCGTATTCAATAAAATTACACATTTGCCTTTTAGCAATTTTTTATAGAAAAATTATTACCTGACGTAACCAATCCATGTTTGCTGATAGCAAAAGGCAAGCAGGAAAAAGTTTTCCACTCGTTAATAATTGGATCGTAACTTTCCATTCCTCTCAATACTACCTTGTCATCTTCTCCGCCTGTCGTAATAACTATTTCAGACAATCCTAAAAAAGTATAAAATTATGTTTAAAAGAAACCGAATATATATGTATGGTGAGTAAATGTGAAAATGAAAAAGATCAAAGCGATTAGTACAAATGATAATAATCATGTGAGTGCAAAACAATATAATTATAACAAAAAGTAATGAAATATGAGTAATATGGAAGAATATGAAATAAGGTAACCAAAAGCTTTTCTGGGCTTTGTGTTCAAAATAGGGAAATATCGGTGATGTTCCAAAAGTTGGTAAGTCTTTGCCTGATTAACTATTTGTTGACATTTCAGGTCTTCTGTTATAACTGGCGAGCTCTCAAGTTTGTCGTGTATAAAATAAGCGTCCATAAATACCAAACGAACCTTGATTATGAATGTTATAATTAAATTTTATACAGTTTACGATAGTAAAAAATATAATTTTGCAATTGTGAAATTTCATCTTATAAAATATTTAAAATAATGGGGACATTGCCCGATTTTTTAAGAAAATTCGGGCCGGGTCGGGTTTTAGAAATTTTTAAAATATATCTAAATTTATCAATTTTGTTGAATTTTTTATGTAAAATAAAAATATGTGATTTTATTTATAGAAAGTAGATGCCATATAACATATATATCGTTTATTTTGAGTAATTATAAAAATTAATTTCTATATTTAAATAAATTCGGGCCGAGCCGGCAAAATTTTTTAGAAAAAATTTCGGGTTTGGGCCGGGCTGGACAAAACTTTATAAAATAATTTCGGGCAGGGCCGGGCTTGAAAAATTAGGCCCGATGCATATCACTAGGGGACATGTCCAATTACAATAATTTACAATTTATTCTCAAAAAATGATTTAGCATTTCAAGTAATCCCCATTGGTCATGATCTTGACCTAGAGAGGGCTATTCACACTTGGATGAGCAATTCCACCCTTCAGAAAGCATGTGATATTCCCCTGGTATCTCACTCCGTTGATTATCCCTTATCGAGTGATTCATTAGAACAATGTCCCAGCCAAGTTATTTTGAATTCTAAATCGTGCTACGAATGACTGTAGATCATCCCAAGCAAAAATCTCGTTCTAATGAAGAACTTCGTGCTGAAATATATCGCTTCCTTCAAAATGTATTAATTGTTCTTTACCATTTGATTCTAAAGCACATCATCCTTTACATTGCAAATATTCCAAAGGCCGCCTCCCATGGCATACAAACATAAATAATTTGATCTCAAAAGCTCTTAAAAGGGCCAGAATCTCAAATACCCTAGAAACTAATCATTGATTTTTCTGTGCGATCCAACAGAAATGCCTGAGCTATTAATTCGGCGGAAATCTTGAAAATAAACAAATATATTACTAATGTCGTTTTTAACACCCAATACTCTTGATGTTTTGAGTGAGGAATTCCTTAAATTTAGGAAGAAATAAGCCAAATAAGTGTAATGAAACCTTCTAATTCAAATAAGCCATTACGTTAGTTATTCATCAAATATTTGCATTGCTATTCATGGTTCAATATAGCAATCTCTTAATTGTTTTTTTTAATTTAGTTTTTATCAGCTGTTTGTGTGTTTTAAATTTATATATATATAGTGAATTGAATTCCATATCAAATCAATTGAGGTTTCAACCAGACCCCCTCAGATAAATTTTTACTTTCATTTTATTTTCTTCAAAACACTGTGTAAAAGAAATTTGTTTTGCTTTCAAAAAACTATTTTCAAAATGATTTTTCATACTTAGATATTCATCTTTGCTCACAAATGTATATTTTGTGCGATATTATTACTTGTATAGTTTATAAAACCATTGTTGTCAATATATGATCATATGAACGCTGCATGCTTACTCGAGTTGCTAACCATTTAGTAACGCCTCGAAACTATTGCAAGGGCTATATTACCAGGTTTGGAAAGAATGCCACTGCCTTTATCCCAATTTTCATGATTACAGAGAAACAACAATATAACTACTTTAACTAAAAACTCTTGTAATAAATCATGAAAAGGTGAATAGTGGCCTGATTATTGGTCCAATGCAATCCTTGTGGTCATGCACTACAAATGCATAATTTTCTTAAGGGTTAGCAATAACTAAGAATTCGCCAACATATAAATTGGATTTTAATGAGTTTTGAAATAAGGATTGTTGTGAAGCTATATGAATGAAGAATCAAATTATTTAATTTTTCTAAATAATCTACATTAGTTTGCAAATTTTGTCAGCGTTTCAAGATGGTAAATAATCTATTGAATTCGCATCAAATTATAAATTAAAAATGCATCCAAAGTCAAAATTTTAATTTTAATTTTTTTATTTATTTATTATTGAAATTTACAAAAATCAAATTTTGCGAGAAACATTTATTTTTTAAAAAAAATTCTTTGCCTTTGGACTACCTTAAGTCTTTCTTTTATTTTTGATTTATGCTCAAATAAAATATTCAATATTATTTTGCCAAGTTATTTCAAAAGAAAATTTAACCAGTGTTAAATAAACCATATCCCCCCCCCCCATCTCTTAAATATATTTTTTAAAGTAAGGGTCTTTCACTTAGACATAATTTTTAAATAAAGAATGATATTTATGTTAAATTTGAACAATTGTAGCCATATACAGCTCATAACTCCTAGACCACGTTCAAACCAGTCTAGGATTTTGTACAAATATAAAGTCTGGCATAAATTTATAAAAAAAAATTGAAAAATACCTTTTTTTCTATGACCACTTTTGGTTTTGTACTACCGATTTTAGGTATTAATCGGATTTCTATCACATTTATTTATATTTCATATTAAAGATCCATTATTAAGCTATATAATAAAATTTAAATTATTGTTCTAACTTAATTTATTCTTAAGAGATTTGAAAGTTAACGATAAGCATTTTGTCTAAAATGTACCATTTTTCTGCTCTTTAAGCCCCCATATCTTAATTAAGTGATGTAAGGAAGTAAAAAAAAATTTTCTTAGTTATAATATATATTACCAATATCAAAATTTGAAAAAGGTCGGGTTAAAAATCGATTATTTTTGGTTGATTTGATATGGAATTCATCATACATTATACTTTTATAAAAACGTTAATTGTTTTTTTAACCTTTGTTTTAAATTCGTTTTTTAATAATAGACCCTTTTTTATTTAAAAAAATTAATATTTTAAACAAAATAAACATCAGCTGAAAAATAACTTTTTAAAACTTGCTTACCAACTCCTGAGCTAAATATTTTAATAAACGATAAAATAGTAAATTACTCGCTTTGTTCGAATATGAATATAGAATTATTCAATAAAAATTTGCTGATCTACATCAGGCCTAATTTTGAACAAATTTTCAATAAATGCTTCAGTTTAGCAATCGATTATATTACATTATTATAAATCCATGTTAATATGATTACCTTAATAATTCGTTATAATTATTATACCTAGGATTTTATTTAATTAAAATCAGAGATTTAATAAAGATTGAAAACTATTGTGGCAAAATCGTCATAAACACATGTTACTAATCCTTTATATCGGCAAAAGACAAATTATCGGCATTTGAGATATTGTTAATTTGGAATGTATTTGTGATTTAAGTTTACTTAAACTCAAAGGAAATACAGCATGTATTTCCCGAGTTCCTAAAATGAAACGAGCTAAATTGAATCATTCTCGTAGTTTAATCTCTTCTAAATTGTATTGTTCGTTGGTTATACAAGTAAAATTTACTGATGGCATTTGTTTTGCAAACTGATATAAATCAACTTGTGTTAAAATGTATCCAGAACTGTGGCGCTGAAGGCTTGAGCGTGCTGCTAATCTTTTTAATGTTCCGCCAAGGCCGTCACATCGACCTTTTCCATGGGATGTAGATGAAAAATGTCATTCAGCTGCTACACCAAAATCTGATTCATGATAACACAAATTTATAAAAAAAATTCTGTTTTTATATTGCGCAACTGATCCGTCAGAGCAGTATTGGCTTTTTACTGAATTGATTGGTCAAAAAAATAACTATTGTAAATCCACAATAGTAAAAGGATATGTCTACAAATTATGGCCTCAGGAATTTCTATTAATAAGCGCAAAATGGGATACGATAAAAATAAAAGATTTTTTTATAATAGTTTTTACAATATAGCGTAGCGTCCTAATAATAATCATATCTGTGCATAAGGCTCAGGACATCATATTGGTTATACTCAATTGATTTTTCAATTTTAATCCCAATACAATTCATATTTTCATTAAAAATATAATATTATAATAATTTTTAAATATAACGCCATCTATATTATCTTTTTTATTTATATAAATAATAAAAATTCAAATAAAATAAAAAAAATAAAAATGGCCATCGAGATTTTTTATTAAGTAGTTAAATGTAAAGATCATAAACATTTTTAGAGAATATCAACACCCAAAAAAAATCCCTTCCTAACAATGTTAATTTTTTATTTTTACCGGAAATAAGTAAATAGTTAGATTTTTAAATTTTTTTTCGATATTTTCCAATGTAAAATTTTAAGGACTATAAAATGATATATAATTTGTAACTCATTTTTTAAAAAACAAGATTTAATGAAATCACGCATTGCGCGATTTTCGACTTTGAAGGCGTATATCTTTGGATCTGGTTGAGCTAGCACTCTAAAATTAATTTACTAAAATATACAAAATAGATAACTATCATGCCAAGATTCGTTTATTTTAAAAATGGTCGTCTGGAAATCTCATTTTTTTGGTCGATTAGATGTGGAATGACCCATCTGGAAAGAAATCACAACAATGAATATCTAAATTATTTGAATGAAAAAACAAAATATTATGAAGTGTTATTTGCAAAAGAACCTAAAATTAATATAGAAAACCGTTTTTCCAAAAAATATGTATATATAAATTTAACATCTCATGGAACTTGTGTAAATGATCGGCCTCTATCAATTATTGAAGATTCGATTTCAAATAATCATAAAACCAATTTATCTGGGCTCAAGTTATTGACAAAGAAAGTTTATCCCGAACTAACTATTAATAGAAAGCCCAATCCATTAGAGACAAAATATCAAGATGGGTAGAGGGAAAACTAATAAGCTTAAAAGTTGATGCAGTTAAACAACTAGACAGGTCAATTCTTAGTGCATATTCCATTTATATCAAAGTCCATTATAATTTTGAGAGCTCTTGGAATTGCAGAATTGAAAGAAACAAGTACAGGAGAATATGTAGGAGATTATACTAAAAACTTTACAAAAATTTTTAATTAATATTGAACAAATATACACAATGGTGAAAATTTTATCAAAGCTATAAAGCTCAAAATTGATTATGATAAAGGAGTGACTCAGCAGATGATGAAATATGTGTGAATGTATATAAATATATCGA